TGTGATTATGTAAAATATTATTCTTAGGGGTAGCTGGGTGAAGGGGATGGGGTATTCTCTGTAATCTTCCTATATTTATGTAAATTTAATATGACTCCAAAATTAAAAAAAATTAAATGCATATGCAACTTTACTTCTCTTTATAGTAGATTATATAATTATAGTCAACACTCTCAGTAATAACTAGACAAACTGGATAAAATATACAAAAAAATCTGTTTAAAGCCACCTGAGAGCTATCAAGAGAGTAAACAATAACCTTCTCAATATCAAGGAGAAGAAAGATGTCTAGAGAGGTGATTGGTATATTATGACAGCTTTTGTCCTGTGGGCATTTCCCTGTCTAGAGACACAGCTGAGATATTGAGCAGCACTTTAGACAGCTTTGCTGTATTAGGAGGACCAAAGTTGGATTCCAGGACATATATGCATGGGACTTTGATAAATCCCACACACGTTGGCTTAGATTCCAAAGACAGGCAGCCTACGAATGAAGGTAAACTGGAATTAAAGCAGCTATCATAGGGTTAGAGCAAAGCTTTGAATCATTTGAATGTCCCAGAAATTTGAATCCTTGACATTGGATTAAGATGATCCAGATTGCCACTGCCTGGCAGAAGCATCAGAAAATCCTCACAAGATGAAGAAAATATCCTGGCCTTCGAATTATTTCTACAAATACTTTTTCAAATACAACTTCTGTTGTACAAAGATAATCAGGCAAATGAGGATATAAGACAGAATAAAAAGAATCAGCAGATGAAACACACAACAAAATATATCCACAACGGCCAGATATTAGAATTATCAAACAAAAACTCTTTTTTTGTTTTTTTTTTTTGAGACAGAGTCTCACTCTTTTGCCTGGGCCAGAGTGCCATGGCGTCATCCTAGCTCACAGCAACCTCACACTCCTGGGCTCAAGCGATCCTCCTGCCTCAGTCTCCCGAGTAGCTGGGACTACAGGCATGCGCCACCATGCCCAGCTAATTTTTTCTATATATTTTTAGTTGTCCAATTAATTTCTTTCTAATTTTTTAGGAGAGACGGGGTCTCACTCTTGCTCAGGCTGGTTTTGAACTCCGGAGCTCAAACAATCCGCCTGCCTTGGCCTCCAGAGAGTTAGGGTTACAGGCGAGAGCTACCGCGCCCGGCCTCAAACAAAAACTCTTAAATAATTGTTAGGTTATACTCAAGGAGATATTTAAAGTAAATGATATCATTAAATTAAAATTTAATGTAAATATAAAATTTCAATACAAAACTAGAAACTCTGAACTTCTATTTGAAAATGAACCACAGAAATTCTAGAAACTGAAAAATATAATAAATAAAATCAGAATTCTATGAATAGTTTCAATAGCATATTTTACATACCTCATGAGAGAATTAATGAACTAGAAGTAAGCCAGAAGGAAATATCTAGAATGAAGATACAGAAAGACAAAGGATGAAAACTGCAGAAGAGAGTGAAAGAGACATAGGGTTACAGTAAGAAGTTCCAAGTTATTTTTAAGTGGAATTTTAAAGGAGAAAGAACGGGGAAGAAACAATATTCAGAGAGCTAATGGCTGAATTATTTCCTAAACTGATGAAAGACATCACTCTGCAGATATATCAAACCAAATGAATCCCAACCCAGAAAATAAAAAGGTACAACCTAGAGCAGCATTGTCCAACAAAACTTTATGCAATGATAGAAATGTTCTATTGGGCACAATCCAATGTGGTAGCTGCTTGTCACATGTGGCTACTGAGTACTTGAAATGTGGCTAGTGCAACAGAAGAACTGAATTTTAATTTAATTGAATTAAGTGGAATTTAAATTTAAATAAGCACATATGACTAGTGGCTATTATATTAGTACAGATCTGGAGTATCATAGTTAAACTAAGGAAAAACAAAGACAAAGATAAGAATTTTCATCTTTGATTAAATCTTTAATCTCTGATTAAAGAAAGCAGAGAAAAGATACTCCAAAGGATACTAATTAGATAACTACATTCTCTACATAAACAATGGAAACCAGAAAAAACATAAAATGTGTCAAAACAAAATAACTACAAACTTAGAATTCTATACCTAATAACAATATCCTTCAACAACTGAGGTGATTTCTGTTACATACCTGGTTTAACACAGACACATTATTGGAGTGAATTTGCATATTGGGTTTGAATCTTTTGAGATACTAACAGTTGTTGCTGGTTTCCCTGTATTCTGAGAAGTTGTCTTCTCAATGTGGCTCCTTCCACTCACCCATGGGGGACATTTATTACTCTCCGTACACATTTCTGTTGTAGCACCTGTGTTTTATTCACTAGTTTACGTTTGTTTTTGTTACTTGTCTGTCACCTCTCTGGAAAGTTTTGACTATAACCACCTAATAGTTATATTTCAGAGATTACCCAATAGTACATCATTTTAAAACTAAAAGCTAATGAGTGAGAGTATGATTTATTTCACAGTCACCTGTCTGGGAAATGTTGGAGATAAGCACCCAAAATGTTCAGGATATTCTCAAATGGTTTATGATATACAAAACTATATTACTTTAAAATGAAAATATGCCTGAGAACAATTTATGTATTAAACTAATTCATCTATTAAAGAAATTCAATCTCAGAGAGATTAATTGACCTGACTAAGGTCCTACAAAGAACTACAATCAGGACTAGAACCCAGGTCTTCTAATCCCATATATGTTTTTCTCTACTATATCTCAGAATTAGGACTCTTTTTACTTATACTGGATCCAGAAACACTATATGTCCTCTGAAACATTTTTGAGTTTAGAAATTACCAATTTTTAAAAATCAACTTGTAGTCTTCATTAGAGTATGGAAGAAACATTAACCTGGGAATAAGAGGATCTAGATTCTTAGCTCTCTTACCAGTTGAGCTGGGAGTCTTGGAGAATATCACTTGCTTTCTCTGGGCCTGTGTATTCCCCAAAGTAACATATTTCACAAAGTAAGCTACATAAAATAAGCAAATAGCCTAGGACAGGTCTGACTTTAATTCTTCTTCTTCTGTTTTTTTTTTTTTTTTTTTTTTTTTTTGCATAAAGCTCATTAGAGGTCATTCTATTGAAAATATTTTTGAATTACATTCAATTCATCATTTTTTCCACTACCCATGGGAGACAAATAGAATTGGGGAACACATCACAGAGAAAGTTGAATTAATTGCTCTTAACAGTCACTATCAATAAGCAGTTTGTAGTGAATGTTTAGGAGTGAATACACTATAGTCAGTTAAAAAGGAAACAAACAAACAGCACATCTGTCTGTTCCATGCTGGCAGGTTGATGTGGTCTAAAGGACAAAGAACCACCATTAATGCAGGGAGAACATGGTTAGGGGATTTTCATTTAACTCGTATGTTACACACATACCTAGGTGTATTTCACATTGTTCATCCAGTTTCTGAGTTGGATAACCTTTTAACAGGTAAAGAATAGCTTTAAAAATATTAGAGAATTATTAGTCCTGGGTAAACACTGGATCCAGGATAAAAATAATAAAAATCCAACTCAAATATATTCTCTGCACTTCCTATCGCCATATCCTCAGGCCAAACTGGACAGGAATTGGATGCCTCTGGGCACAAAGCAGGTTGAACAGCTGTTCAAGTCCCTGCATCTGACTCTTTGTCATTTGGCAGATTGAAATCTCTGCTGAGAGCACCATTTGTAATGTTTTTACCCAAAACTGGCATTTTCAAACATGGAATTTGAAATATAGTATGGCACCGGTATACATTCATAGAATAATAGTGTCAAAGGGAGTCTGAAAGATTTATGTCAAAAACCTAACTTTCCCCCAGAAGTGCTCAGAGGTAACTCTAGATTGGCTGGGGTGGGCATGATGGAATGTGAATATGGGTTTTCTTAAAAATGTGAATATATGATTTCAGCTTCAAATGTGTGGAATAGTGAGGAGACAATATCAGACATGAGTATAAATGGAGATGTATTAATATATAAGAAGTAGAATGAAAGGACACATATGCTTAAGGGAGACATGTTATGGAAAGATAATAAAGAGGTATTAGAGAATCCAAGAGAATCATAAAGTCAATGTTTGGGTATTTGAGAAGAGACTAAGAATAAAAATAATAATAATCATAGTAGTTATTGTTATCATAGTTGATGCTTATAGAGTACTTAGGTATATGTCAGTGCTGTTGTAATATATTAAATATAACAATTCATTTAACCTTGACAATCATATGAGATAAAAACTATTAATAGTTCCCAATTTATGGGAAATGAAACTGATAATTTAGCACAGAGAATTTAAGTAATTGGATCAAGAACACATAGCTAATAACAAGTGAAGCCATGGTTAGAATCTGTAGCTTAAAACAAATGAATGAATCTAAAATCTTAACCACAGGAAAAAAAGACACTACAGAGAAGCAGAACACATTTGAATTAAGCATATAACCTAGCCTGTACATATGGAGAACCTAAGATTTCCTGAACATTACTCTTGTGCAAAGCCTGACCCAAGGACGAAGCCCCACTGTAGCCCTATATAGTGACAGCAAAAAAACCTCCAAACTGACAGAATCACTGTTTATTTGGGTCTTTCATGAGGATTATATTTCTTCACAAATTCATCTCTTTTGTCTCCATCTTCAGAACAGAGTACACACAAATGTAAGGCGGCCTTTAAGGTCTCCAATCCTTTTCTAATCATTAGTAACCCTCATTGTTGAGAAAGTCTCTTTATATGTAAAATTAATCATTGACTTTCCAACTTAAACCCATTTCCTCTTCTCTGATCTTTATTGGAGATGGGAGACACATGAAGGTAGTTAAAATTCTAATCACCTCAGGTTTTTCTTTTTTATTTAATAACTCATTTAAATGTACTTCTGCTAAATCCTATTTTAAAATCTCCCTGACATTAATTACTGATATATTCAGGTCTTTCTGACAGGCCTATTTTACCATCTTAAATGTACTTAAATGGTGAGTTTTCTCATCTTACCTCTCCATTTTCTAAGGGGTGGATCTTGGAATAAAAAGAAGTGCAGATGACCTCATCGTCTTTGGCATATGATGGCGGTCCAGTGCGGGGATAAATATTGTAGAGGGTTAGGCACTCTGTGTCTGTTACAGCGTGATACTGCCAAGGCTTGTATTCAACATCATCAAGAGAGCGTTCCAAAATCCAGTTTCCAGGCCGAGGGGAGTTAGCTGCTTTCACAATCACATATGCAATCTGGAACACCTGGGGAAGAGTAACACGACAACAACAACAGAAATTTGAATTCCAATGTATTCTCACCACTTTATGTCAAATATAAGGCTAAATGCTATGGTAGATTATATTTCATATTTTATTCTATAACCTTATGATGTTCTCTGAAATGATTTTACTATTGCATGTTCATATTTAATAACTTTGCTTAAAAGAGATGTTTCATTTTGACAGCCATGGCTTTAAAACAAATGGATTAAGACTGGATTTTAATTCTCTAGCAACTCACTGACATCCCATTTCACCTGATTTTTAAAGTTCCATTATAATCATTACCATCTAAATTATTTATTACATACCGATTTACTCACCTTACTATATTAGTGACTATAAAATATGATTTGGAAATTTCACGTGTGAATAGCTTGATAGTTTAGAAAACATGTTTGCTTATTTCACTTAATTCTCAAAAAAGTACCATTTAGATGGAGTTAGTGTGGTGCACCAAAACAACATAGGCATATTCCTATGTTCAAATTGTGGTCCTAGCCTTTATATGAACTTGGGAAGATTACTTTTCTAACTCTTATCTTCCTTTTCTGTGAAATAAGGTCAATAATAAGCACACCACTGAGACACAGTTTGGATTCAATGAGATAATGTGTGCAAAGTACCTGGCCAAGAACTTAGCAGTAAATAATAAATATCAATTCTTCTACATCCTAAAATTGAAAATAATGGTGAAGAAATTCCAGTGACTTAAAGACAACTGATTGAAACTAGGACACAGTAAATGAAAGGTTTCTGTAACCATCTCTTTACAAGAGACAAATGTATAAACAAAAGGAAGAGGGAAGAGGCATAATTACTGTAAGTCAACAGAGTGACAATTGTGGGGAATGTAGCAGTCTTTTATTTTCAAATTGGCATAGAATTTTAAGACATAAAAAAAGAAATATTCTGGATATTTTGTGATAGTGCACATCTCTGTTTTTACCAATGCATCCAAAAGTCCAAAAGAATAACACACACATGTCTCTGAATGACATTTATGTGCAACGTCCTGGGTAGCAAGATAGATATAAACTAGTTTAAATTACTGTCCCACCATCAATGGGTTGTTAATATATTGTAATAACTCACTATTACATATGAAAAGTACTATATTAATAAAGCAGTATATGTTCTTGACCAGTACATGCTATGAGATGTGGAGAGCTTGACAGCTCCAAGCTTTGGGTGATTGGGAGTCACTGGTGGGGCACAACTGGGAGGACAGGCCCACTACAATGTGATTAAAGAGCCTACTGAGCTACAGAGGGAATCCTGAAAGGAATGGTCTAGAAATAAATTTTATCTGCCTTATAGTTTTGGCATGGTACTTTCATGAATACATGTATAGCATCTATGGTATACTCTAAGGAACTGAATGTAAAAATATCAAAAGTTGGTATAGAAGGGCACTACAGGTGGCTCTGATGCTTGTCCTTTGAGATCTTTACCAGAACGCAGGAATGTTTGTGTGCAGTGCAGGAAAAATCACAGGCCATCAAATGATTAAAAGTAGGGCTAGTATTTGCCTTTTAGGCACAGTTGTGGAAAAACTGGTGGTTAAAATACTGAAATGCTTCTGTACTTGCTGGCAAACCACAGCTGCCCAACTTTCCAAATGTCTCCTCTACTCTGAGACTGTCAGATTAATCCCAGCATAGCAGGAAACAGCCAAGACATCTGTTCTGATTGGTTTGGGCCTTGATCATTTTGTTGTACTGAGTATCACTGCACGTAGGAAATACTGATGGATTTATACTTACAAAGGTTTACAGATAAGTATTTAAATTGCAGATAGACACTCATATCTATGTAAGTGCATATAAATACTTGAATATGCTTAGACATTTGCAGGGAGGATATACATGAACATGTTAAAGCAGTGACCTCTGGGCTTTGGGAATGAGGAGTCAAGGAAAGAAAGAGGGGGACTTTTATTTTTCATCTCACATTCTGCTATATTGTTTGTA